TACTTTTGACGTAAAACACAAAACAATCACAGCTCTTCCGAATAATTGAGTTTCTGAAAATTTGAATTATATTTTATGCAGTTACGGAATACCAACGTTCGTAATAAATTTTGTCTAACCGAAATAATAATTTCGATAATAAAACTGAGAAAATCCATTTACCTATTATTTTGGGTCAAAGAACTTGGATAAATATAACTTATTATAAATTATAGATCCAGCTACATGGTGTCGCGACGTTTCTATTTCTATGCAGCAAGTGACAAATATACTAGAGTTATACGATCTACTCCTTTATCTTTCTAAAGATATGTGTTGTGTTAACCTATTTAGTTACGAATTCTAGATCTCTGAAAAATTAAAAATGTGTTTTTTTTTTAAATTAATTCCTAAAGTAAGTAAAACTAAGTCCTAAAAAATTTGTTTTTGTAAGAAAAAAAAAACAATCAAAACTATAGTATTTTAAAACGACGCAAAATATTTAAAGGGGCATTTTGGACCTTTCACATCTTTTGACCTCGATGCTATGTATAGAGCTGCGATTCTCAAACTTTTTTGTATACGTACCACTTATATAAATTCTGCGTCAATCGCATACCACATATTAAAAAAGTAGGTAATAAAATTTACTAATTTTGGCAAAAATGTATTTATTTAAAAAGGGGCATGATCAATGTTACAAAATAAAACTTACAATCTAACCCAGTCCAAAATTCAGTGAGAAGGATGGTTCTGCATAGTTACAACAAGTGAATCGATATCAGAGAATGAGTACCTGGGCCTATATAAGATATGTTTTAATAGGCTGAACACTATTTTTTATACGTTTTATACACGATACTATTAACACTTCACATAAATATATCTAAAGGTATATTGGGACCGTGCAAGTTCGGAACAGCGACAGCTGGTGTCGTAAATCAGCAAAATGTAATGCGCTTTTATGTTAGATCGAGGTAACCGGATAACTGTCAAGGACGTGGCCCCAAAAAACACTAAGAAGAAAAAGTAAGATTGAGGTTATGTCGGTATGTTATTAAAAGGTAAACGTTGATGTAGCGTAAATACAAATAAATATATTATTGAATTACAGCATTACTGTTAATATGGATTCAATAATAAAAACTGAATTTAAGAAAGTAAATCACCAAATAACTTTTCAACCAAGCACTGAGTCAAAGGAAAAAGCTTTAGTAGTGGCAAATGTCAAAAAATAATGGAAGAATTAAGAAAAATAAATTACCATAAATAATGCTAATGCATAAATTAGCAGGTTAAGCCCATGATATCATCATATTGGTTTAAACAATTAATTCTTTCCCTGTAAACTTTTGGACAGCGAATATATCTTAATGCATCTTCAGAAAAACTTTAACTTGATGCATTTTTGTAAACTTCAAAAAAATAAAATTTAAACATTAAACTTGATTTTTGGGTTAAAATGAACTTTAAGTGAGTATTATGAAACTAAAATTTACACTTAAAAGTGAACTTTTATTTATTATTTATTTCAAACTGACTTTAAAATCGGGCGCAAGAATAATGCATAATTTGGGTTATGTTACTAATGCTTTTTTATGATATAAATCCACTTTTCTCTTTGTAGTAGCTTTGTGCTTCGAAGTTGGAAACGAATAAAACTTAAATTGACAATTTTTTGTTGTATTTTTACAATTTATAACACAGCATTTCCTAAATCCCATTTTCTTCAGAGACAGAAGGTGCAAATGTAAATAAACAAAACGAATAAGAAATATGACAATTGACAATATGAATTTATGAAATCTATGAAATGTGCACTAAAAAATGCAAAATTTCTCCGCTATTCGCGCATGATCGTTTCTCGTATCCCCTCCAACTAGGTACTTGTACGTCGCCAATACATACTGGTAGCTTTCTAACTAAATAGTTCAGACATGATTTCTACATTTATATTTTTCTTGAGGGTAGATATATTTATTATTTAAAAGTAGAATATGAACCAATATACATAATCTATACACTATTTCTATAAAATATTAGTAAGTACGGCATTTAGTACAATATATGTTGAACATGTCATTGGGTGTCTATTAAAAGCATTTTTTTGTGTAAAGATTATCATCATTCATTTAACTCTTATCTTTTTTTTAAACTTATCTCAATGAAATATTTTCATATTTTGTATAGTTGATACTTATTTAACAGTTTAATTTTGTAATGCAATTATTTTTCACATATTATTATGAGAGGTCAATAAAAATCAGCAGCTGCACATGAAGCGAAATCAAAATTAAGATAACGGTTACTTTTATTATAAAATATGTCATACGCTAAGCAAATAGCAGTAAACAACGGATACAACGAACAAACAATTAATAAAATGTTAAATCAAAAACACAAGAAAGCCCTGAAATTAGTATTTCCACCACCAGAGAAAAAACACAGTACCTTCTGCTCGATTACTTATACAGGCAAAATAACAACAAAAATAGCCAAACACATAAAAAAGAAAGGAATAACACCAGCTTTCCGAACAAATAACAACCTAGGCAAATATTTTAAAAATAACAAAGGCCAAAATAAAAAACACTTAAATAGTGGTGTGTACAAACTTCAATGAGGCGAGTGCCCAAAAACTTACATCGGTCAAACTGGTAGAAACTTTAATAAACGAATAGCAGAACATAAAAGGGCTTTTAATAATAGAAAAACAGATTCGACATACGCACTTCACCTTTTAGATCATAATCATTCTTTTAATGACAAATTTAAAATACTTCACATTCAAAATAAAGGCCATCTTTACAGATATAATAACACAGATATAATTCTGAATGACCAACTTGAGACAAACAGTTCTCCCCTCCTCAACCTATTTCATTAGAGACTATAAATTGTAAACCCATGAAAAAAATAGATCACTTGAGAAAGGCAATCAGCCGAAACAGCTGTAGTGATAATAGTTAAAATAAATTTTGTGAAAGTTTGAAAACAAAGTTTTCAGTATTTTATTGTTACATACCCAATTTGGTTTTAGAAATGCTATGGGAACCAAGGAGGCACTTTTTGCGCTTAAAACCCTATTACAAAAATGCCGTGATCAAAGAAAAGATGTATTTGCATGTTTCGTGGACTTAGAAAAGGCATTCGATAAAGTACAGCATGTAAAATTAAGCAAATACTGAAAAATATCGGAATAGATGACAAGGATATTCGTGTCATTAAAAATTTGTACTGGAATCAAACGGCTATCGTAAAAATTGGAGATAACTACACCGATGAAATCCCCAAACAACGAGGAGTCAGACTAGGTTACATTTTGTCGCCAACATTGTTCAATATTTACTCGGACCAGCTATTTAAAAAGGCACTTGAGAGACAACCATATGGAATAAAAATCAAAGGGGAACTACTTAATGTGATTAGATATGCAGACGAAACAGTAATTCTATCAGATAAGATTGAAGGTCTTCAAATTCTGCTTGATCGTATTTACGAGGTAGGAGAGGAAATGAGCATTAAAATAAACTCAAACAAAACCAAATTTTTAGTGTTTAGTCGTTACCCACATCCCGATGCAAAGCTTCACTTGAACGGAGTCCAAGTTGAGACAGTTCACAAAATGACATATTTGGGAACTGTAATAACAGACCAACTAGATCCAGACATAGAAATAAAACGTAGAATAGCAATGACTAAAACTACTTTTATGAAAATGAAGTCATTTCTTTGCAATAACCATCTTAGTTTAGAACTAAGGCAAAGAATGGTTAAGTGTTATGTTTGGTCTGTACTTTTGTATAGTGCAGAAGTGTGGACGCTAAAAGTATCGATCATGACCAAATTGAAGCATTGGAAATGTGGGTTCATAGACGAATGCCGAAGATACCTTGGACAGCAAGAAAAACTAATGAAGAAGTACTAAGGAGCGTCAACAAAGACAGAGAACTGCTAAAGACTGTTAAACAACGAAAAATGTCTTATCTGGGACATATAGTAAGGGGAAGTCGATATAAAATTTTACAACTGATCATACACATCATACACAACACATAGAGGTGTAGGAAGAAAACACGTTTCTTGGTTAAAAAATATTCGTAAATGGACTCAGATACCAAATGATGGACAATTATTTCATATTGCTGAAGATCGAGAAGCCTTCGCAATGGTGATCGCCAACGTCGGATAGTTCTGATATGGCACGCGAAGAAAAAGATATATAAAACACTAATAAGACCAGTGTTGACATATGGGTCAGAAACGTGGTCACTTACACAGAACGACCAAGAATTGTTTAAACGTTTCGAGAGAGAAACTATAAGGAAAATATATGGAGGAGTCCAAGAACAGAGTTTGTGAAGTAGGCGCTGCAACTTTGAGTTATACAGAAGTTTTGGGGAACCTGACGTTGTAAAATATATTAAATTAGCACGCCTTCGATGGATAGGACATGTAATTAGGTGAGATGAAGATGCAACGATCACAAAAATGTTTAACCGAAGAGGACCAGTGGGAAAACGAGCCAGAGGAAGACCAAAACTTAGGTATCAAGATAACATAGAGGATGATCTAAAATCCATCGGAGTGAAAGCATGGGGAGGAGTTACCAGATACAGGGGCGAATGGAAGATTGTTCTGAAGAAGGCTTTGGTTCATAACGAGCTGTAATATCACTGATGATGATGTGGACAATCCGTCTTTTGCTTAATAGTTATTAAAGTATAGGTAGGTACCTTCAGATCGGTGCAGAGACGGGAAAAAGAACCAAACACTAGAAAGAGAGAGAATAATGAATAAGTTGCAGCGAAAATGAACAGAAAAGTGAAGGAAAGCTGACTGGCTCCAGTGTGTTATCACAAACGTGGGTCAGGAAAAAAAGAAACACAAAAAACATAAGCAGCTATATAAACGTGCATTGCATATTTTGAAATTTTAAATTAAAGGTCAAATAAGTATTTCTAGTCAATTTTTTCTTCCGAACAAATCCCAATTTTTTATAGAATTTTTGAATTACTTACAACTTAGCAGAACTGCTGCTATCCAAATCTTCATCATTATCGTCAAATGGAACAAAACACACAAACACCCACTATATTATCGAAGCGATGTTCGCGAACTCGTCGCGGCGTAAATCTATTTAGAGTTCGAGCGCGTTCAAATTCGAATCTTGTGCCGGACTAAATATTGTTATAAATACGCGCCCATAGTTTTAAGACTGACAAATGAGCCGACGCTTGCGCCTACAAACAAACGAAAATATTACTTTCTTCCAGAGGAAAGTCTAGGTGAGAAATTTTCTTGAAAATTGAATTAACTCTTGTCTAAAGATGCAGCTGATCGAAGGACCTTCAGGTTCGGACTTGCTCACAAAACTTAACGAGTCAATAATAGAGTTTTGTTTATTATTTCGTGATTAATACATTAAGCCTTGCAGAACACTTTTATTATTTTGCTAATAATACTACTACCCTTATTATGATAACCAAAATTCAAAATTAATTTATTTCACTGGAAAACTTTCTCTATTTTTCTTATCACAGAAAAGTGAAAAACCAATTAATAAATTTTATAAATTATTCTCTCAGGGATATTCTTGCTTTATATCTTACTTCTGTATTTTATTTAGATACATAGAAGCTAGTTGGAAGTAAAAACTCAAATATAAAAAAACAATTTATTGGCATAATAAAAAAAAACAGAAATATGAAATATATACGAAACAAAATTCACACTAAATAAATAATGCTTTGCAAATTCAATTAAAATATTTTTTCCTAATAATTATCAGATCAGATCTAAAAAACTACATAATGACAGTGCTATTTCTTATACTTTAAATAATAATAATAAGTGTGGATTAAGTCCATAATGAAATCCATAATGAGCAGATTCCTGAGCAGCTCATGCAAGAAACTCAACCTGTTAATACGCAGCAGGACAAAAACGAGTTGAATGATAGCCTGATAAGAGATATGGCAAGTGCCGTACAAGAGTTTATTGGGACAAACCCACTTAGCAGACCACTGTTATCAAAAATAAACTCTTGTAAAAAACTAGGTGCTCTGTTACAAATTATGAACACTGAAATCCTACCCAATTATATCGTGTAGCAACAGCAATTGATAATGTTATGGGAAGAACAGATAACAGAGTTGCACCTTGGAAAAAACGGCTTATACGGAAAATTAAATCATTACGTAGAAACATTGGTCATATCACGAAATATGTTCTAGGAACAACAAATAGATAATGCTAACCACTGCAAGACACTTACAATATAAACCAGAATATTAAAAATCTTCAGCAAATAGTACGAACATACCTCACAAAGTCACAAAAACACCATCCTCAAAGTGCAGTAGAAAGAACGACATTACCGTGGTATTTAGGAGGACGAGGACTTATGGATATAAGTGAGCAACTAGAGAAACAGATTACTAATTTAAGAACTTATTTTCAGGTGTAGGCTGAGACATCTACTCTAAATCACGCGATTTGTATAGTAGATGATACTGAGGTCACAAGGATAATTTGAGGTTAGTCAAGACCATGTCCACAATATAGCGGCGAACTATTGGCTGATATCAGAAAAGATTTTCTCTGAAACAGAAGGTTCATTGCTCGCCATTCAGGATCAGGTTATACCAACCAAAAATTACCTGAAATATATCGTCAAAGACCTTCAGGTCAAAAACGACAAATGCCGATATGGATGTCAAGATCAGAAACCCTCCAACATCTTACCAGTTGCTGTCAGGAATTTGCTGCAACTGAATGAAAGGAAAGGCACGACTCGATAGAAAAGATCCTTCATCAAGAGATAGCCATCAAATTGGGACTTCTCCAAATAAATCATCTTCCATATTATCAATACGTTCCTAAAAGTATACTTGAGAATGATAACTACAAGCTATACTGCGACCGCACTGTGCTCACAGACCAAACAGTGGCACATAATAGACCAGATCTCATACTAGTTAATAAACTAAAGAGATAAACAACACTAATTAATGTAGCGATACCAAACAACAATAATCTTCGTGTTAAACAGAATGAAAAGGTCGCTGAGTACAGGGATCTGGAAATTCAAATACGAAGACAGAGAGGTCGGAAACTACCCAGACAATACCTATTATTCTTTCTACTACTAAAGTCATTCCGAAGAATCTCCTAGAAAACATAAAAAAGCTGGGTCTGAATGAACATCTCTACAAGACCATGCAGAAAGCTGTATTTCTCTGAACGTCCAGATGTGTACGAAAATTTTTGGATACTCCAGCAAACCAAGTTACCTAGAGCTCGATAACACGGATAAAGTCCCACCAGAGCTCAATCCTTTTGATACCGTAGGTATCTGGGATGAGTGAATTTTCCCCTTCGAGGGAGTGTGAGCCGTAAGGCTAAATCTCAATAATAATAATTTCAGGTGCAGGCGGAGGCATCTACTGTTTATCGCGCGTTTTGTGCAGTATATGACACAACACCGATCAAACTGATTCGCATAAATCATCTTACTAAGAACGAAAAATTCGCATCTGGATGGTAAACCTCTGCACGGGCGACATCCGAATGAAGTCAGTCAAGACTACGTCGACAATATAGTGTCGAACTATTTGTTGACATCAAGAAATATGTTACCTGAAACAAAAGGTTCATTATTTTCCAATCAGGATAAGGTTATACCAACCAGATATTACCTGAAATATATTGTCAAAGACCCTCAGGTCCAAAACTACAAATGCCGATATGGATGTCAATCCCAAGAAAAGATCCAAAATCTAACCGGGGGCTGCCAGGCATCTGCTGCAACTGAATATAAGGAACGGCATGACTCAGTAGGGAAGATCCTCCATCAAAAGACAGCTTTTAAACTGGGGCTTCTATAAACAAACCATCTTCCATATTATTAATACGTTTCTAAGACTATACTTGATAATGACAACTACAAGCTATACTGGGATCGCACTGTGCTCACAGACCAAACTGTAGCACGTAATAGATCAGATCTCGTGCTAGTTAATAAACTAACAAGACAAAAACACTAATCGATGTGGCGATACCTAACAACAGTAATTTGCGTGTTAAGTAGAACAAAAAGATCGCCAACTGCAGAGATATCGAAATACAAATAAGGAGACAATGGAGAATGGAAATTATCCAGACGATACGTATTATTCTTTTTACCACTGGAGTCATTCCGAAGAACCTCCTAGAAAACATAAAAAAGTTGTGTCTATATAAGATCATGCAGAAAGCTGTGCTACTTTTGATGTCCAGATACGTGCGAAAATTTTTGGGAGATACATACCAAGTCACCTACGACTCGATAACATGGAAAGAGTCCCTCCAGAGCTCAATCCTTGTGATACCGTAGGTATCTGGAATGAGTGAATTTTCCCCTTCGAGGGAGTGTGAGCCGTAAGGCTAAATCTCAATAATAATAATTTCAGGTGCAGGCGGAGGCATCTACTGTTTATCGCGCGTTTTGTGCAGTATATGACACAACACCGATCAAACTGATTCGCATAAATCATCTTACTAAGAACGAAAAAATTCGCATCTGGATGGTAAACCTCTGCACGGGCGACATCCGAATGAAGTCAGTCAAGACTACGTCGACAATATAGTGTCGAACTATTTGTTGACATCAAGAAATATGTTACCTGAAACAAAAGGTTCATTATTTTCCAATCAGGATAAGGTTATACCAACCAGATATTACCTGAAATATATTGTCAAAGACCCTCAGGTCCAAAACTACAAATGCCGATATGGATGTCAATCCCAAGAAAAGATCCAAAATCTAACCGGGGGCTGCCAGGCATCTGCTGCAACTGAATATAAGGAACGGCATGACTCAGTAGGGAAGATCCTCCATCAAAAGACAGCTTTTAAACTGGGGCTTCTATAAACAAACCATCTTCCATATTATTAATACGTTTCTAAGACTATACTTGATAATGACAACTACAAGCTATACTGGGATCGCACTGTGCTCACAGACCAAACTGTAGCACGTAATAGATCAGATCTCGTGCTAGTTAATAAACTAACAAGACAAAAACACTAATCGATGTGGCGATACCTAACAACAGTAATTTGCGTGTTAAGTAGAACAAAAAGATCGCCAACTGCAGAGATATCGAAATACAAATAAGGAGACAATGGAGAATGGAAATTATCCAGACGATACGTATTATTCTTTTTACCACTGGAGTCATTCCGAAGAACCTCCTAGAAAACATAAAAAAGTTGTGTCTATATAAGATCATGCAGAAAGCTGTGCTACTTTTGATGTCCAGATACGTGCGAAAATTTTTGGGAGATACATACCAAGTCACCTACGACTCGATAACATGGAAAGAGTCCCTCCAGAGCTCAATCCTTGTGATACCGTAGGTATCTGGAATGAGTGAATTTTCCAATTAGAGGGAGTGTGAGTTATATGGCTAAATCTGGAATAATAACACTTAACAATAATTTCGATATGCAAGATTTCCAAAACATTGAGGCAATGGCTGAAAATGATATGTACAGATATCTCGGAGTAAAACAAGTGCAGAAATTTGACCATAAACAAATGAAAACTGAACTAACTTCGAAGTTTGTGCGAAGAGTAAGACAACTAAATCGGTCATATCTGTGATCAAAAACGGATATAGAGGGTCTTCAAGTAAGAACACTTCTCACAAAGGAGTAAAAACATCATCCACACAGTCCAGTAGAGAGAACAACATTGCCACGGTATCAAGCGGGAACAGAAATCTGGGATAACCTGTGGGAGTTTTAGTCAGTTCTTCTATTGGGCGCGGCTTCTGCGAATGGGGATGTTCTCTGGGTATTCTTAGAACCGATACCCAGAAGGTAGCAGGAACACCTGCCGAGGAACAAAAGCTGACAGCTGGCAGTAGGTATAAAATGCACACCTATGAAAATGAAATTAAATCATTTATGTTTAGGGTCGCTGAAAGGGGATCGCCAGGGCACGTCTGGAACCGGCGCTAGACGTGACAGTATCCGGGACGTCAGTGGCAGGGTACTGAGGAGGTAGACCCCTGTCATACAATTAGCTACAGCCCAACAACAAGAACAACCACAAAGGAGCCAAACAATACCAAGAGCTCCACGCGCTGAAGGTGCTGCACTGGAACATCAGTCGGCGCTCACCCA